GTATGAGTCAGGGTTTCCTAAATTTCCCCATTTTAAAATATTTAGGTGGCGACTCTGTATCTGGCAAAGCAGTCCATGTTTGGCACTACTTTTTCAAAAATCTGTTTCTCAAAACGATTTGCCAGATTTGGACTCTTTGGTTCAGATTAAGAACCGTGACACAAATCGAGAGTCCGAACTGTAGTAGCATGAGGCCCACGGGCGCGTCTACAGCTGCGCATGAGTTTCACTCGCAAGCAAAGGCCAATCACCGTTGCCATACTGTAATGTTCAACTGTTGGAGTGAATGTCACCCTGAATAAATAAATAATAAAAAAAACCATATTTAATTTATAAGAACTGAAAATTTCACCAATACAAGGGGATTTTTCTCTACCTCACACAGTTATGCTTGTCATCTACTTCAATTGCACCTTCTGATATAACTTTCAGCTCTTCCAAGGTATACGGATGCTCAAGATATTTTATGTCTCTAAGATGATGTAAGAATGTTAAGAGAAGTACAGAGTTTCCAAAACTACTTAGCTCCCTTGTATAATTTGCTATGAAACTATATATGTCATACTTGGATGTCAAGAATTATTATCTAATTTTATTCAATAAATAAGTTCAAAACAAAATGATATGAAGAGCAAGAATAACTAGTTGCCATAAAGAATATAGTTTTGCTTCCAACGAAAAGATACACTTGTTTGATAAGGACATGATAGTTTTGCTTCCAAGGAGAGTAGCATCTTCCCTAGAAATTCTCCATTAATTCTTTGACAAATGTATAACTTTTATTTTCTTGTGCTTGTTTTTTTTTTTTTTTTTTTTTTTTTTTTTTGTTAAAGAGCCTTCTTTTACCCAGTGAATATTGCACTATATCTTCCTTTTGTACTTTCCTCCTCCACTTTGACAAAATTTTCAATTCCTTAACAGAAAAAGTATTGTCATTCTTTGACTTTTTGTATATAGACACACAATCAAATGTAATGCATATTGACTGCAAATGTTAGTTGCGGTGAGATAGTCACCACACATTTATTAAATTTTATATCAAATTTAACATGCATTTCAAGATAATTTCTATAACATGTCATTAATATTCAAAAGTTTCTACGGAAGATTTACATACTCATAAAAGTTTTGAACCACACAGCGGCACATGCTTCCTTACAATTGCTTCTGCTCCCTTTGTCTCTGAGATATGGACAGGCAGCAAAACTTTGCTGAATAGGAACTTCACCCATGTAGTTCGATTTGATGAACATGTCTAAACTACATATTCCTTTCTAAATTCTAATACACTTACATACAAGTGAATTTTAATATCAACACCAAGCTTTGCAAAGAAACCTATGATTTCTGAGATATATAACTGATAAAACACAGTGGATATGACAGAGTATCAAATGTAATAATCAAACTCAAAGGATATCAAAAATTTCTAGTTGGTCAATGGGCTCCACAGCATACTCGTTGACATCATCCGATGCAGTTCTCGTTCAATGCTTCTTTTTTTCATAGACAATGGAATTGGCATTGATTAAACCAGAAACTATTTTCCCTAGTCAGCCTAATGCAGTTTGTAGAAGCTCCACATAAAAAACATTAAAAACTATGGTCCATGCTCAAAACTGACCAAATTGAAGCCACATTGATATTGAATTATTGCATAAGCATTGAACACTATTGTCCTCTTGTTCATAAATCATAGGATGATGTGCAAAAGGAAACATAATAACAATAAATCAACAGATTACATATTCAATTCCAATTGAAATTCTTTGTGGCCTAAATCTGCTTAACAATTTGTCCTTTATTATAATACATGATCACTCACCGATACATCATTAACCCCAAATTGTAAATGACATCACATTGAAGAGGGGATATCTAATGATTTCGATAATCAACTCATAGAAAAAAAAAAAGAAGAAAGGAAGAAGGAGAAATTACAAAAAGAAACCAGAGTTTGACTCTTGCAACAAAGTAAAACTTAAGTTTTTAATTTTGTCCATTCAAACCCTAATCTTTTGATTTGTTTTCAATCTAAACCATCCGTCAATTTTCATTAAGTAAAACTGACTGAAAAAGGATATTTCAATTTAGACATTAAACTCAATGTAGATGTATATAAAATGTCTAAAATATCATTTTCCGTTGAGTTGAATGATTAAAATACATTTTTTCTGTCGGTTTTACTTAATGAAAAAAGGCAAATGGTTTAGATTGGCAATAAATCAAAAGTTCAGGATTTGAATTGATAAAATTAAAAACTCAGTTTATTTTTTTTATAAGGGTCAAACCATAGTTTTTGTCACACCCTCAAAATAAACCCATTATATATATATCATTGGCATGCAATATTAAAAGAAACCAATTCATTATCTCATTCATCAGAGTATTACAAAAAGAAAACATTACATGTAATATCAAACTAAATGCCCTATGGGCTTACATCTTTCCAAGCCAACACTTGGACACAAAAATATGAGTTCTAACTCAAATACAAATAAAGCCCTAGGCTTGAATGTTTATCAAATAAAAACAAATAACTAAAGATAGTCTTCAAAATCCAAATCCTTCCAAGCTAAGTCCTTGGAGGTAGCTTATCACCTGAACCTGAAAATGATGTTCCCATAAAGGGTGAGCCACAGACTTAAGTTTTTAATTTTGTCCATTTAAACCCTAATCTTTTGATTTATTTTCAATCTAAACCATCAATCAATTTTCATTAAGTAGAACCGACTGAAAAAGGGTATTTCAATTAAACTCAATGTAGGTGTACATGAAATGTCTAAAATACAATTTTTCATTGAGTTTAATGATTAAAATACATTTTTTCTGTCGGTTTTACAGTAAAGGTTTTACTTAATGAAAAAAGGCAAATGGTTTAGATTGGCAATAAATCAAAAGTTCAAGATTTGAATTGATAAAATTAAAAACTCAGTTTATTTTTTTATAAGGGTCAAACCATAGTTTTTTTTTTTTTTTTTTGCAATATCCCCAAGAAAATTGCTTTGACTTATTCGACTAGACAGGGAAGGTCTATCCCTTCTCCATTGGAAGAAAGTAGATGATCACGTAGGGTGAATGAATCAAAGAAAGGGAATACTCAGCTTGAGAGATTGAATTATGCAAGTTCGAGTGTATGTGCATTGGAGGAAGACAGAGAGAAGACTAATTCCTTAATATCTGAATCTGCTCATTCTTTATATAGATCTTAGTTAGCCTTGTAGGGATTCTTTAGGATAAGCCTGATAGGAATAAGAAGAAGACAATACCATTAACTGGTTTCATCTTCAATTTTGGTTGCCTCATCCATTACCAAGGTTTCATTCATGATTTTCAACCCATATATGCAATGTTTATTTATTTATTTATTTATTTTCCCAAATTGACAGCTCAACTGCTGAAATTTTTTATCTCTTTTCTAAACAATCCTTTCACAACCCTTAAGATTATAAGTGTTTTACTATTATATGCATCTTATTGACAACCCTTAGAACTACCATTAGTAGGACCAACTGACCACGAGCTATTTATGAGCGATTTGGCTTGTTTGTAAAAGTTTTTGGAATTAGGTAGAAAGAGGGAAAAAAAATAATGGGAAAATTATAAATCAATGGTGCCTTCACAAAATATTTACAATTCATAAAAATGTTTATCATTTTAATTATAAAACTTGATAAAATTTATCATTGATTTAATTTCATTTTTGAAAACATGAACTAAATTGCAATTTCTTGGAAAATTATCAAATATACTAGTACACAATGCGATTATGTGTATACCCATTTTCCATATGAATCCATGATCATGTTGTCTCATTTCTCCAACAAAGTGGTTACATTACTTATCTCTCATATGGGAGTTCAGATCCTCTAGAGTGATCTCTCTACAGTTCGATCCAATGGCTAAAATTAAGAAAAATCAAAATGACGTCGTTTTGATTAAGTCTGAAAAAACAAAAACAATGCAGGACGAAGAGAGAGACAGAGAAGAGACCCCTCCTTTCCTGCTCAATCGACAAAGGGAGCCCTTTGGTGGTGCAGCAGATTGAAGATTGTTTGGTTAACCGAAAATTTTCTATTTCCTGATGTAGTTGCATTGTGTTTTTTCTTTGTGTTGCTATTGTTATACTAACTTACAGTGTGGGATTTTTTATTATACTAGAAGATTGTTGCTAGCATTGTGCTTTCATTTTTTCAACACTTTCTACTAGTAAATTTTTGTTTGCCTCATAATAAAGATTATTCATATTTCCCATTAGCTTTATACATTGATTAAGATTTAGATTAATATATGATGAGAGTTAAATCAACATGAATGAAACATTTTTTTTCGTTGCTCAATAATTTATATGAGTGATATGATAACTTCATAATCCATCATATTATAAGCTAAATCTTTTTTTGTTTTTGTTGTTCTCTTTTAGCTTCTATGGCATCAATGTTTTGGTTTGAGCCAAGCTCTATTATGTACAACAGATTTACTTGAGAGCACAAACCAAAAAATGAAACTATGACAAAACTAGATAGCGAAGGCATACATATAAACATATAGAAACCTTGACTAGTTATAAATATTTGATGACAATGCCACAAGTACAACCACTTTCATGCCTTTTCTAGCTCAACAATTGTAGATTCAGAAAAGAAAAGAAAGGAGGGGAGAGGGGGGGAGGAGAAGAAAAGTGAGGGAAAGAAAATTCTAGAACATCAAAATAACCTACAGAGGTGGCTTTAGTTGTCACGCCCTTAAAAAATAACCCATTATATATATATCATTGACATGCATTATTTAAAGAAAACACTTTATTAATTCATTCATCAGAGTATTACTAAATAAAAACATTACATGTAACATCAAATTAAATGCCCTACAGGCTTACATCTTTCCAAGCCAACACTTGGACACAAAAGTATGAGTTCTAACTCAAATACAAATAAAGCCCTAGGCTTGAGTGTTTACATGTACTAACAAATAAAAACAAATAACTGAAATTAGTCTTCAAAATCCAAGTCCTTCCAAGCTAAGTTCTTGGAGGTAGCTTATCACCTGAACCTGAAAATGATGTTCCCATAAGGTACCTCTCACAACTGATGGTGCCGGCACAAGATCCTGCGCGGTAACAGCGTACACGCGCCCAGACGACCTCTGATCAACCTGCTCACCCCTAGGAGCATAAGATTGCTGCACCGACTGGGACGATGAAGCCCCCTGATTGGCCCTCGAGGCCTGACCCGACTGAGCTGGCTGCTGACCCTGAATCTGCCTCAAACCAGATGCACCAGGTGTGCCACCCAACTGCGGGCATTGATTTCTATATAATCTCGTTATTGGTTTTTAGTTCACCGCAAAGTAAAAATAATGAAACTATATAATATTTCTTAATCACTTTCAAAGTAAGAAATAATAAATCTAAACAATTACCTGGGGCAACATAGCCAATTGTTCCTCTAATCCCAATTGAACTTGATTGCTGATGAATAGAAATTCCATTGGTTGCTGAAAAAATCTTTGCCAGGCCAAAATCACTAACATGGGCACACAAATCACCGTCAAGAAGAATATTACTTGGCTTTAAATCACAATGAATAAAAGCCATTTCACAATGATGATGAAGATAATCCAATGCACATGCCACATCAATGGCAATGTTTAGCCTTTGAACAAAGTTCAAGTTCTTAGGTTCATGTTTCTCTAAAAGACTTGGGTGTAACCAATTTTCTAAGTTCCCATTTTTCATGAACTCGAAGACCAAAGCCTTGAAGTCGTTTCCTTTAAAATCAATGCTTAAGCAAGCTGTAATTATCTTGACAAGATTTCGATGGCGAATGTTCTTCAATGCTTCACATTCTGGAACAAAACTCTTGTTCGCTCCACATTCGTGTAGCTTGAGCACCTTCACAGCAATAATTTGTTCATCGGAGTTAAGAATCCCTTTATAAACAGAACCATATCCTCCCTCACCAATTAAGTTGGATGGAGAGAACCCATTTGTTGCTTGAAAAAGTTCTCCATAAGAGAGTTGTGGATATTGGTTTTTCAAGGGTGAGGCTAAATTGACTTGCTTCCTTGACCTTTTGTTCTGGTAAAGAATAGCTAGAATGCACAATGATAATACAACAATAGTGAGAGTAACTACTAGAACTATTACTCTATGGTTGGAAGTTCGTTTCCTTTCATTTAAGACTTCAATCGAGCATGCAGGCAATTGCAATAGTTTAATTCCTCCGCATAGCTTACTATTTCCAACAACTGAGAAGGCACTAATGTTTTTGAAAACTCCTCCAATCGGAACTTCACCATCAAACATATTGTAGGAAAGATTGAGATAGTGAACTAACCGAAACTCCCCGAGAAACCTTGGAATCTGTCCAGACAAATTGTTCCTAGAAACATCTAGTTCTTGAATACCTTTCAATTGTCTGAAGGCCATCGGAATTGTACCTTCAAAAAGGTTACCATCGATGTAAAGGAATTTTAAAACTTCACAATTGCCGAGAGTGGCGGGGATTTCTCCAAATAGTTTATTTTTTGATACATATAGCCCTCCCAGATTTTTCAAGTTACCTACTTCTTGTGGAAGTAGTCCTGTTAAGTGATTTTGACTTAAGGATAGATTAAAGAGGGAAGCCAGACCAAAGATTTGATAAGGTATTGCTCCTGTGAGATCATTGTAATCAAGATAAATTTATTGTAGATTGGTACAATTGCCTAAAGAAATTGGAATGCTTCCCTCAATCGTATTTGTTGATAGGTCAAGTGTACCAAGCCTACTCAGGTTTCTAATAGATGATGGAATCTCTCCAGAGTTATTATTTTTTTCAAGCATGAGGATTTCCAACATGGAGAGTTTTCCAATGGAATTTGGAATACTACCTGTAAGCATGTTATCACCTAGAAGGAGGAATTACAAATTTACAAGGTTCCCAATACCAAGAGGTATGCTTCCAGATGTATAGTTGTTTTCTAGACTAAACCAAGTGATCTTGGTGGAGAGATTTGCAATAGAATGGGGCATAAAACCTTTAAAATCATTAATATTCAAATCCAGAGCTTGTAGATTGGAACAATTGGATAAAGAAGTGAGGAAGCTCATTAATTCATTGGCTTGGTTTGTTCCAAGTGAATTGCCAGAAGCACCTAGAGTTTCTAAAGCATCAAGGGTTCCCAGATTCATAGGCATGGGACTAGTAAACGAATTCATGGCAAAATTAACCTGCGTAAGTCCTTTAGCATTGGCTATTGACGATGGAATTTGGCCATAGAATTGATTTAATGAAACAAAAAATACTTGTAAATTTGGAAGGGTCAAGCCTAAATCTGGTGGTAGAATTCCATGCAATTGGTTGTCAGCGATGGAGAAGTAATAGATTGATGAGATATTGTAAAGAGAAGTAGGAACCATACCGGACAAATTGTTTACAGACAGCTGAAGAAACTCCAACTTGGAAAGCTGCCCAAGTTGGGTGGGAATGCTTCCCTCTAGATTATTATATGGTAGACAAAGCAGACGTAGATTGGAAAGGTTCCCAATTGAAAGTGGGATAGTTCCAGTGAGACGGTTGTCTCCAAGAGTCAAGATGGAGAGATTGGACAAAGAACCCAACTCGGTAGGAATTTTACCACCTAGATTGTTACGGGACATATGGATACCTCTCAAGTGTGAACACTGAGTCAAATTGGTAGGAAATTCACCTTGGAAAGAGTTATTGTTAAGCCAAAGATATTGCAGACGAAACAACTTGCCAATTTCTTGGGGGATTTCACCATGAAAGCTGTTGTTACCGAGATCAATCGTCCTCAAGAAGGTGAGGTTTCCAATTTGAGGAGATACAGAGCCCACCAATGCGAGATATGACAGGTTTAGGAGTGTCACACGTTGATGTCGACGAGCGCATGAGACTCCTTGCCAATTGCAAAACTGAATTGAATGATTCCATGAGCTCAAGGCACCCAGAGATCTTGTATCAAATCCTTGATTGCAAGCAGTGCCTAATGGTCTGTCTCGTTGGCAGTGGTAATCAGTTCAAGAGAGTTCGTGAAAAGGAAAATGAAACAAAGTAAAGATGCACTAAGTAGAAAACTGAAAAAAATTGAATTTGTTTGCTCCATTTGGTGTTAAAAATAGAATATTATTATGATGAGAAATGGAGCTGGTTAACTGGTATACATCAATGGAGAGCCAAATATATGTATTTATAGAGCCAAAGGCTTGGGACTTTTGTTTTTGTTTTTTGTTTTTTTGGTTGGCAAATTACACCGGTAATTCTTAGTCTTTGGTCATTGTACTATTTTGTTAGTTGTAATTTTGATTGACTCGGTTTTAATCTGAAATTTATAATTTTGGGGGGGGGGGTTGTGTGTGTGTTGTGGATTCTTATTCTTTGGTCATTGCATTATTTTGTTTTTTTATAATTTTGATTGGCTCGATTTTAATCTAAAATTTATAATTTTATTTTAATTTGGTTCAATTAATTTATATTTTTATTTTTATAATGAAAAATGCACACATAAACTTCACGTGTCATCTTTTTATAGAAAAATTATAAATTATTCAACTTAGTGAGTTAACTTGAACAAATTTAGTGGCCGTTTTCTTTCAAAATCCTTTATTGATAGACTAAAGGGAAACAAAATTTAAGATTAATGATCAAAATTAAGTTAATTAAAATGATAAGGACCAAAATAATACAAAGGTTAAAATGTAAGGACTATCGATGTAATTGTTTTTTTCTTCTCTTTCCCCGTACTTTATTACAATTAAGGAATCATCGCCAAAAAGCTAAAAATTCAACCCCATTAGCAAAGGGTCACATCGTGTATATCAATTAATTAATTTTTTTCTTACAACTATTTATTCAACTAAAAAAATGAATAATGTTATATGCATTAATTAGTGTATTAACTAGTTTACTAATTGATGATGTGGCATAATTTAAGAAGTTTTTAGTAATTGTAATTTGTATAATGAGTTGGGTCAATAATAATATCATAACATATTTTGTTACATTAGTTAGTATACTAATTAGTACATGTAGAACTACCGTAAAAAAATAATTCTTAAACACATCTTTTTTCACCTCTTAAAAAAGCTTAAAAATTAAACGGCCGTGCTAAAGGCCTCGAAATTGGAGGCGTGAATTTTCCTCGAATAATGATTTTTATTTATTTTTTTATTTTTTTTCTTGTGTTGGTTTGGTTTGGGTTTATTTTATTTTATTTTAATTTTTTTGAGAAGGGTGGTTATGTATACCCTAAACCCTTAAATCCTAAACCCTAAATCTTAAAACTCTAAATCTTAAACCCTAAATTTTAAACCCTAAACCCTAAACCTCTTAAACCCTAAATCCTAAAACCCTAAACCTCTCAAACCCTAAACCTTAAAACCATAAACCTCTTAAACCCTAGACATTAAATCCTAAACCCACCCCTACACATAACCACCCTGCAAAAATAAAAAATAACAAAGCCCAACAAATAAATAATAATAATAATAATAACCAAGCCAACACAGCCCAACAAATAAATAAATAAATAAAACAACTAAACCAACGCAGCTCAGAAAAAAACAAAAATAAAAACAAAAAAAAATAACAACAATAACAATTTGAGGCATTCGAGCCTCGACTTTGTCGAGGCCGCAGTCTTTTTCCAAAGGAAAATGTTTGGTAGCTCAAAATTTTGTGGCTCAAATGGCTCAAATCTGTCAAAACGACGTCGTTTTACACTCAAAATCTATCAAAACGATGTCGTTTTAAGTGATTTGAGCCACAAAATTTTGAGCTACCTAGCATTGTTGTTTTCCAAAATTAAAAATCTACTAAAAAAAATATCTTAATTGCTCCTGCTTGCTAGCTAATGAATAGCGGAAATTCACATCTACTCTATCAAGTGGAACTTGCACCGAATAATTTTTTTATTTATTTCGTAACATAATTTTCATACGAGAGCCCTCTTGATTCATGGACAGCTTTGGAGACGTCTAGGGTTGAAGTCAATGTTGTGGCCTGTCTTGTGGCTCCTAGTTTAACTTTTTTTTAGAGATTTATTAGAAAATCTTTTTTTTAAGTATTTATATCTCAATTAGTTCATAAAATATCCTTGTATTTTAATAAGTCTTATTATTTGGATATTTAATTTACCAAATTCTAATTCTCATATTTAAGGTATTTTATGGACATTTCTACCCTTGCAAATATTTTTTGAACGGTTAACAATTTAGTGATGTGAACATTCATATTTTATAATGTGAATATTCACATTGACATGTAAATGTTCACATTAACAGTATCAACATTCAAATTGATGGTGTGAATGTTTACATCACGGAACATTCACAATGTAAAGATGAATATTATTAGAAAACTTTCGATGAGGCTTCTTCTCCATCGTCATCATCGAGTCATTGTTGCTCGGTGGGGATGTCACAGTTCTGGGCAACGACGGACTTGAAGGATCCAATAGTGGAGTCAAGGTTGATTCGCACCAAGAACTTTAGCCATTAGAGCATCGGATGTAGACAATCACATCACCACTACCACCACTGCCACCGCCATTTGCGGCGGCATTATTGTTCGATTCGGTTGCCTTCGTCGCACCACCGCCCATGCTCAGAAATAGAAAATAGTTGGATCGATGGAAATCACAAAGATCAAAAGCCCATATTCTTTAATCAAACCCTCAAGTATTATCTAATTTGTAAATATGCAACATATATATATATATATATATGTACATTATATTCAATTAAAATTATTTAATTTACCTCAGAATTACGTATATATATAAACATTCAGAACTCGGGCTTTGAGGAAGATGACTCTGATGGAACTGGTATTTTTTTCGCCCTAAAATGAAGGGGTAATATGGTCATTCTGTATAGGCAAGTAACGTCGTTTGTGCACAATTGACGGATTTGGAGAATCTTGATATTGTCAGTTAAAGTAGGAGAGGTTTTTGCAATTATTGAAACCGCAGGGGGGATCTCTGTATTTGTTAGAAACCTCAGGAGATGTAAGTGTAATTTACCCTAAAATAAACACGTGCCATTCTCGGATATTGTTAAACATTTCATCAAATTACATTTGTATTTAATTTTGTGTTTAAAATAATTCTTGCCATTTATTTTTCTCGATACACATGTTTTAATGAGTGGGTTACCAATATCTTATCAATTTGATTTTTTGAAGATTTGTTTTACAAGATATAAGAATCATTTTCTAGGAATAAAATATTTTTATGGGTAAATTACACTAACACCTCCTGAGGTTTGGTCTAATTACATCTCACCCCCTGACGTTTTGGAAATTACATTCTCACCTCTGTAGTTAATAGTCTCATTTCACAAACCCTCTACTTATATAAAAAGTAACAACTCCTAGTAGAAAAATATAGGAAATTATATTGAAAAAAATAAAGTAAATCAAAGGAAAGGAAAAAAAAATACAAAGGAAGTAAAGCAAAGTAAGAAATGAGAGAATGCATGAGTGCATGAGTTTAATATTTTCATTCAATCAAGATAATTATAATGATAAGGGGTTAGTGTAATTTTTCAAATACTGCGAGATGATATGTATTAAATCTAAATTTTAAGAGATGTAAGTGTAATTTATCCTATTTTTAAAAAGTTGCATCGACACGATTCCAGTGGCCCTGTTTGGTAGGGCTTATTTCCAGCTTATTTCAGCTTTTAGCTTAATTTAAGCTATTTTGATGTGTTTGGTTCAGCTTAACAATACAGCTTATAGCTTTTTGTAAGTCAAAAATCAACTTATTCTTTAAGTGGGGGAGGAGAAGCTTAATTTATAAGTCAAAAATCAGCTTATGTTTACAACTACAAACTATAAGCTATTAATCACTTTCCCACAGCTCTACCAAACGGGCCAAGTGTCACTCGTGAGGGAAAAAGCTAAAGTACATGAATTAGGATTATTTGCAATAGCTCTTTTTTTTTTTTTTTTGGTGATAATTCTTACTGCTTATAGTTAAAGTAGAATTATGTTGTTTTCAGTGTGTGATTTTAATGTTATTTTATTTTTATTTTAATTCGAATCATTAGATTATATATTTTATTATGTCTTGTTATAATAAAAACAGAGTAAGATCATTGCAAGGAAATTATGACAAAGAAGTCGGAATCAAGGTACATACCTTAAAAAATGATATATTATAAGAAATTATCATTTTAGAGACAAATTCATTTTTTAAAAAATGAAATATTTTAATTATCAAAAGTGTTATTGTTGTATTTGTAGCGATAATTTGAACATTTAGTGATAAATTACTATCGTTTTGGGATTGAAATTTGTCTAAAAAATAAAACCTTTTTGGCATCAAATTGTTCTGACATTTTTAAAATTTTGTCGCTAAAAGTCTTCTCTTTTTTTTTTTGTAACTATTTTTTTTTTTTTGGTCTAAAACCAAATTGTTTGATTTATTAGTGATATTTTTTAAAATTTCAATGCTAAGAGACTTTTTTCTTTTTTTTCTTTTTTTTTTAACTTTTCAAATTGACCTTTACCAACTATAGGAATTGATCTCGAAATGTTCTTTTTACTAAGAATTTTACTTTTGAAGACAAAAATGTTTGGTTCCTATATATTGCTTAAATGGGTAAATTACACTTAGTACCCTTATACCAAAATC